CGCTGTGACAGCATTCTTCTGATGAACCTGGTTTCTCAGGACCTCTCGTCCACTCAATCCTGTGCCAGCCATCCAACTTCGAATGCAAGTTGTGCATCGCAATCACGTACCTTGAACTGGCTTCCCAGCCAACCAAACTGTTGACCACGTCAACACCTGCTTTCCCCAATTCGAGTCTCAGTACCGCAAGACCTTCTTTCAGCTCACGGACTCCACGCTCCACTGAACCAACAGTATCATGGTTCTGGGGACCTGCTTTGCTGACGGTAAATTCTCTTGGAATACCAGCTCTTCTCAACGTCGTCCCGAGTTCATCGGACGCATCTGACCTAAAGTCAATCGGCTTTGGATCTCCAGACAACAGTCCAAACTCTGCCAAGATCTGGCGGACATGTTGGCCGGTGGTGTCAAGACTCTCGCTCACAGCGCAGACACCCAACAAACCACTGAAACAGTGACGAAACAACAAAAACTTGTACTGCGATCCAACTGTTCCCAAGAACATGAAGTCAACCTGTACCTCAAGCAAGCGCTCTTTCAAATCTCGCCTGGGTGCTCTGGAAACACCACGGCCCTGTTGACATTCCAAACAATGAGGGTCATACGGATAATGGCCTCTCAAGATGTGTTGACGCAGTCTCTCCTGGGTTGACAACTCAACCGCACCTACCATACCAACAGTCAAGCCTTGCCCGGTCCTCACTGACTCCATTGGCACATCAACTTCCATCGGCATGTAGGTATCCTTCACAGCAGGAACCTGAGATGTTGTCTTCTTGGCTCTCAGCCAGGGACATCCTCCCCACAACACCACATCAGTAATCACGGTATTCGACTCTTCATGCCAAAGATAGGTTTCACCTGGCGACTGAACAACTGTCCATCCACGCTTCACAAGCTGGGTTGTGCTCACAATGTTGTGGCTGGTGGAGCCTACGCAGCACTTCAAACGAAAGTTCTGAGACTTCTTGGAACCAGATCCCGTCTCAAACGCAACTGTCACCTGAACTTCACCTCTCATGGTGACTGCAGACCCATTGGCTGCATAGTAGGTGTCCATCACCTGCTCTTCTGCGCTGCACTTGTAGTAGGCCTTGAACTGCTCAGACAACACTGAGACAGCTGCTCCACTGTCAATCAACCACCATCGCCACTCATCATCCGAATGTTCAACTGAAGAAATCAATGGCATCAGCACCTCACCTTGTGCTGGAGCAGCTTCCTGCCCATTCTCCTCTGCCAACTCGTGCATCTTTCCCTTACCTTTGCTCTTTCCACCTTTCGGCTGGGGCTTCTTCTGCTGCTTTCCCTTGTCACCTTTGGGCTTGTCAGGGCATTGTGCCCCAATGTGACCAAACTTCGAGCAATGAAAACACTTCACCTTGCTCAGATCGGCCTTGCATTGCTTGGCCATGTGGCCTCGCCTGCCACACAGATGACACTTCATCGTGCTCTTGGGACTTCCCTTTCCTTTGGCAACAGTAGCACTGATCCAAACCTGTGCATCTTCGTCCCATTCCCATTGATCATCAGGATCTTCTTCCTGGGCATACTCAGAGTTGTCATAACCTTCCTGATCGTATCCCCACCACTCTTCAGCGGTCTCAGCACTTTCAAGTGCATGCACACCTCGTGCACCTGATGAAGATGGGCCACTCAACTCAGCAAACATGCGTTGCTGCGTCTCAAAACGCAACGCAGCAGTGCGAAGGTCGGTGTATGCATCACCTGCTGCATGTAACGTGGTGTACGAACGAACATCATGTGGCAGCGAACGTAAAAGCATGATGGTAAGATCACTTGTTTGCACCTCAAGTCCAACTCTGGACACAGTTGCAGGTAGAGTTTCAATCATCTTGCGAAACCTTGACAGTCCGACGTCAATCTGGCGGATGATGTCACTAACCTGAGTGACACCAGCAGACGCTTTAAACGTCTTTGCCAAGAACTCAGTGCGAAAGAAAGACGCTTCTGCCCTTGAACGCAAAGAAAACTCTCTTGCCAACAAACGCAAACCTTCAAAACCACTCGTACCTCTGGTTGCCAAGAACGCTCCATCAACACCAACTCCCTCAACATAAGCTTGCAGCATGGTGTTCCCCCTTGGGAAATCCTTGAACGTCTGAATGAGGATTGCAAGAAGACGCGCACTTCGAGTCTGTTGAGCGGGCTTCAGCACAGACATATGAATCTCTTGTTCCCAACCAATGCACTGGGCAATCTCCCAGGCAAAGATGTCACTTCCTAAGGAAACCCAAGCACGTAAAGCCTGAACCCAGTCCGAAAATCCAAGGACTTCATCTGCACGGGTTCTCCAGTTCCTGAAATCCACAGTGGGCATAGGAGGTAACCATTTTTCAGATTTACTGAAGATGTCACGACCATCTCTCTCGTCATCTTGATTCGGATTTCTCTCCCCACTCTGGGGTGTCACTTGTGCTATACCTGGCGGCGACCCCACAGGTCGGAACGCAGGTCCTGGACTCGTGGGTGGCTGTTCACCAAACCGTGAAGGTTCACTGCTTAAACCTGAAGACAAGGATGCATCAGCCGGTCTCGCACCGTGCAAGGCTGCAGTTCCCTCTGGAACGCGAGTCACCTGAGCTTGCAAACCATCAAGTCTCGTACTCATTTCCCTTACGACAGGCTCAATTCCCATGCGGAAGCTCTGTGCGATCTGGGTCAACTGATCTGGCGTGAACAAAGGACCTTGCGGACCTGGACTTCCTGGCATACTAGGAGGCTCTTGGTGCGTCGGTGACGCAGGTTGCAGACTCCCCGGTCCAACTTCTCCAACAGGGTACGGTCCAGTCGGTCCACCTGCCTGAAAACCCTTACCATATCCTTTCTCTCCGCTCTGGGCACTCATGATCCTCCGGCCGTCCGGCCAGCCCAGCGGATCAGCGGATCAGCGGATCAGCGGATCAGCGGATCAGCGGATCAGCGGACAAGCGGACCAGCGTATCAGCGGATCAGCGGATCAGCGGATCAGCTGACCAGCGGACCAGCGGATCAGCGGATCAGCGGATCAGCGGACCAGCGGACCAGCGGACCAGCGGATCAGCGGATCAGCGGATCAGCGGATCAGTGGACCAGCGGACCAGCGGATCAGCGGATCAGCGGATCAGCGGATCAGCGGACCAGCGGACCAGCGGACCAGCGGATCAGCGGATCAGCGGATCACCGGATCACCGGATCACCGGATCAGCGGCCAGCGGACCAGCGGATCAGCGGATCAGCGGATCAGCGGACCAGCGGACCAGCGGACCAGCGGACCAGCGGATCAGCGGATCAGCGGATCAGCGGACCAGCGGATCAGCGGATCAGCGGATCAGCGGATCAGCGGACCCAGCGGATCAGCGGCAGTGGAGCAGCGGATCAGCGGATCAGCGGACCAGCGGACCAGCGGATCAGCAGACCAGCGGACCAGTGGACCAGCGGATCAGCGGATCAGCGGAGTAGCAAATCAGTGGATCCGTGGATCAGCGGCTCAGCGGACCGAACCAAGAGATCCACGGATCAGCTCGTCCACGGATTCTGCAAAGTGCTATCTTTTTGTACTTGTCAACTACTTTCCACACACGCGCCTTTCTTCCGCTCATTGCAGGCTCATTCTCCAAGAAATTGTACCTTTGACAAGTTAGTGCATGTCATCAGCAACATCATGATTTACGTCATGTATGTCCTTCTGGCAGCCATCATCCACATTGTCTGACGTTTGGGATCTGTTGTTTGAGGAACCTTATCCTACTCTGAGCGTTGTCATTCAGAGTTGGATGTGCGGCCTGAGGTCATCATCCCTTCCTCTTCGCTGTCCGGTTTGGCAATTTCACCAAGGCGGGCAACCCTAGAGGAGGGCTACAATTCTCACCGCAACACAAATACATGTGCATGCATGCCATCAGCAACATCATGATTATATCATGTATGTCCTTCTGACAGCAATCCTCCACATTGTCTGACGTTTGGGATTTGAGGAACCTTATCCTACTCTGAGCGTTGTCATTCAATGTTGTTTGTGCGGCCTGAGGTCATCCCTTCCTCGTCGATGTCTGGTTTGGTAATTTCACCAAGGCGGGCAATCTTCCAGTGGTGCGGAGGAGGCTACAAGTCTCACCGCAATACAATGACATGCGCAAGCACGCGCAGCACTTTTGGTGCAACCATTGCAGGCTTACTTGTCAAGGGATTGTATTGGCTTCACACGGCAATGAAATGTGCTTCTAGCAGCCAGATTGTCCAAAGTTGTGAGAAAGATTTGGTGTTATACCCTACTCTGAACATTGTCATTCCCCAAGCCTGTGCGGCCTGAGGTCATCACATCCTCGTTCCCCTTTGGTCCCTTTAATTGTTCTTTGGAAATTTCACGAAGGCGGGCAATTCTGCTGCTGCTGCGCAGGGTTGCAATTTTCAGAGCAACAAGCATGTGCAGCATTTTTGATGCAATCGCTGCAGGCTTACTTTTCAAGGGACTGCGACTTCATATGGCAATGACGAATCGCGAATTCTTTTGCAAATAATATCTCATGAGTCACGAGTGTGCTTCTGCCAGCCATCTTGGACATGACCCACTCAAAACTTGTTAAGACAGTCAATCGCAAGACGCATCCTCAAAATTGTCCGTACCAATCATGGCGGCTGGGTCGACTCATGCTGCGCTGCGGCGATCATTCGAGAAGCCGACCGGTAGATTGCCTGGCGGCGGAATGATCTCCGCTGATTGAAAATCTCGCAGCCGTGTACGGAAGAGAAACTGACCTCAAGGAGTTGCTACCTTTCCCTATACATTACCCGGCTTGTCAGAATCCGCTTGCTGAATGCAGAAGCTCGGCAGCTGCTGCAATCATAGTCGACCTGGCTGGCATTGTGGTTCGCAGCATGTCCCATTACGCTGCAGGCGTCCATCCTGCCCTGGCTTTGGGGTGCTGTATTGGCACAACTACAGGGTGCGTGAAGGGCGGCATGTTTTTCATGGAAAGCTACCAGGCTTCCGTTGCTTCATGCTATCTTCTGTTTTTGGCTTTAGTGTGCCGTGGCTTCAGCAGTTCCATGCTGGCCTGGTCAGGCAGCACGCGTCATTCACTAGTGAAGCGGATGTGCTCACTGCGCAGGCTGCCCGCCTACGTCTGCTCATCAGCCAAGGTTGGTTTACATGGCGCCTTCTCACAAGGGCACTGGGGGCAGATCTGAACCTGTCTGAGATGGACTTTTTGAAGCCTTTGGAAGACATGGTGGCCCTTTTCTTGCCGCAGTTGCAACACACATTTGGACAGAATATGTTGCAGGCAGCAAAAGAAGCAGGCATGCGCTGCGATGTGGTGGTCCTCGATGGCAACGCCAAGAATCGGAGGGCTGTGTGCAGAGCAGCTTTGGCCGCCTCCTCTCATTCTGAACATCTCCCGCGCACCTTGCGCCACACCTGCACCAGGACGTCGGCCTTCCGCCATGCTTTTTGCCGTTGGCATTGCGAAGGACCTATGGACGGAGAAGATCACCTTCAGGTGCAAGGGCTGGGTCATTGTCATTTGTGTTGCTTTCTTCTGGCTGAAAAAATGTGCCCTTGTCTTAGACCGTGCACCACAAGGTGGTCAATGATGGGCAGCAGCTTATGGTTTTGCTGAAGAGACCATGGAGCCTCAGAGAGAGGCAGGCAGTCGGTGAGAGACCCTTCGGGAAGGTACCTTAAGGGGGGACCTTGAGAAATTGAATTTGAAGGTCCGTGGAGGAAGGCTTCGAAGCCCCCTTAAGGTGCCTTCGAAGCCTTCGAAGCTCCCTTAAGGTACCTTCAAAGGCTTCAGCCAAGGCTTCAAAGCTCGAAGCCACCTTAAGGTACCTTAAGGGAGCTTCGAAGGCTTCGAAGGCACCTTAAGGGGGCTTCGAAGTATTCGTCCAAGCCCCCTTAAGGTACCTTCGAAGGCTTCGAAGCCCCCTTAAGGTACCTTTGAAGGCTTTGAAGCCGTAGTAGTAGTAGTAGTAGTAGTAGTAGTAGTAGTAGTAGTAGTCGTAGTAGTAGTAGTCGTCGTAGTAGTAGTAGTAGCAGTAGTAGTAGTAGTAGTCGTCATGGGCGGGCCGTCGTGGCCCAAGAGGGTTGCATTTCTAGTCACCGCGCCTGGTCCAGGTGGGTATGTTGGGTGCCGAAGCCGAAGCTGTTCGTATTTCTCGGCTTGTTGGCCTGGTTTGCTGTGAGTGTCACATTGCGATGTTTTTTTTTTGCAATTTACTTGGAACCATGGTTTTTCTTTTTCACGCTGACAACAATGTCTCAGAATTTTTTACACACACAACACGGAACGAAGCTGTTCGTATTTCTCGGCTTGTTGGCCTGGTTTGCTGTGAGTGTCACATTGCGATGTTTTTTTTTGGCAATTTACTTGGAACCATGGTTTTTCTTTTTCACGCTGACAACAATGTCTCAGAATTTTTTACACACACAACACGGAACGAAGCTGTTTCTCGGCTTGTTGGCCTGGTTTGCTGTGAGTGTCACATTGCGATGTTTTTTTTTGGCAATTTACTTGGAACCATGGTTTTTCTTTTTCACGCTGACAACAATGTCTCAGAATTTTTTACACACACAACACGGAACGAAGCTGTTCGTATTTCTCGGCTTGTTGGCCTGGTTTGCTGTGAGTGTCACATTGCGACGTTTTTTTTTGCCAATTTACTTGGAACCATGGTTTTTCTTTTTCACGCTGACAACAATGTTTCAGAATTTTTTAGACACACAACACAGAACGGCTCCAAGGGGGCTTTTTCGGTTTTGTTGCGAAAGGTGTGGCTCACAGGTTTTCGCACTGTGCACAACATGGTCGGCAGTGGCGGGCCAAAGTGCCCTTGTGGCAGGTGGCTGTCTTCTCTTCGACGCCAGGACTTGGCTCGGCAGTGGCAGGCCTGGCCGGACGGACCAGACCGTGAGTCTCTTTCAATGCCCGTTTTGCTCGTGTGTGTTGGGGATCGTGTTTTCCTGTTTTTTGGACCTTCATTATTTGGTGCTTCTTTGCAGGAATGGGAGCACATCAAATGGCGGCAGCACGGAGGGCTGCGGTACTGGAATCTCTGCCTCGAATGCCACCGTCACGTGTGGGGCACCGACGGCCGGACTTCAAACCGGTACTGCCGGCCCCGCTGCCTGCCGTGCCCCCGGCTACCGGCCGGAGAACTCTTTGTCCGGGAACCCCCTCCTGAGCTGGCGCCCTGCTCGCATTTCTGTTTTCCGTGTTCCACCATGGGGTCGCCAACTGGAAACTTTTTTTAGAGTTTGCACGAATGAGATACAGCTGTCCCTGGAAAGATCCCCCCATCAAAATCTTACACCAATAGACGTCGAACGTGAAACTTTGTAGTCGCTTTCTTTTAGATTTCCAATGGCGACTTGTGTCTGTGTGGACCACAGCATTTCTTGTTGCACACACTGTCCCAGCTTCGGTCAGGTGCCGCCTGCAGTTGTCGCGCCGCATCGGCCCCGCACGCGCTGCAAGCGTGCTCGACAGGCTTGGTTGCGTACTTTCTGGGTTCCATTTTCTTGCCCACCACGGCCGCCGCCGCCTGAGGACTTCGGGGTTGTACGAGTTCGACGGGAGGCGGATCCGGCTGCGGGACGGAGCCTCCTGCAGCGACAGAACACTGGCAGGCTGGGTCGGCGGCAGGCTGGGTCGGCGGCATAGCGGGGTGCTCCTTTGTTTGGCACTTTCACGCGGGTTCACAACATGCATCTCATAAGCGTGGTGTGTCGCCTTTTGTTTTAGATCAGAGCGAGTGTCACGTCTGCGTGATCATCCCTTGAACCTGACAAAGTCCATACAGCTTCTTCAGCAGGTTCCACATGTTGTTAGCCACTGCCACTCCCTTTCCACAGCTAAGAGTCCGGGTGTACGCTCTATGTTATTAGTCCTGTCGTAAGTCTGTGCGAATTCCCCTGTATCCATTTCCACGTGTTGTTTTCCTTTGTGGGGCCAGGAGTCTAAGAGTCCGGGTCTAGGGTACGTCGGCCCTGGTTGCAAATTTTTCCTATATTCATTTCCACGTGTTGTTTTCCTTTGTAGGGCCAGGAGTCCAAGAGCCCGGGTCTTGGGTACGTAGGCACTGGTTGTAAATTTGTCCCTACTTCGAGTTAGTTGCAACTGGTTGTACTGATTTGAAGGTTCGAGACTTAGCACTGACTCGTTATATTTATTGCAGGTTCGAGGGTTGGTTGTCCTGAGTTGTGAGGATTTCGCGCTACGATGCCAGGTTCTAGAAGTTCTAGGGTTGGGTGTACCTGGTTGTAACCATATGGAGCTAGGTCGAGAGTTCACGCTCTACATGTTGTGAACTCGTCCGTTGCTTCCGCGCGCCAGGAGTGTCACCTTGCCACCGGGGCCGCCGTTGCAGCGCGCCTTGCTGGAGTCGGCGCAGGACGTGCCAAGCCAGCGTGGTGCGTGGCAGGCTGCGCCGTTTGCCTGGGACGTGCGGCGCCGCCTTTTCCACGGGTTTTGTGGGGCCTGTGGCGAAGAGTCCTGGGACCTGCAGCAAATGCAGCTGCAGCGAGTCACTGTGCTCTACCGGCAGAAGGCCGGGCATGGGGTTGTGTTTTTCCGGGTACTATACACCATGACCATCTACACCTTCCGCATACTAGCATGTTCCTGATTTGACGTTCGACATATCTGGTTGTTAATCAATTACAGTTGGACCACAGATCATTGTGAGTCATGGTTACGGACCCACCACCCACTCATTTCACCGCATGTTGTTGACGCATGACTAAACTTTCAACCAGAGAGCAGAGGCCACAGTGATTTTTGAGTTTCACCATTTCCCTACCTAAATCATATTCATGCTTTCCGACCCACCATTCACTCACTTAACCACATGTTGTTGACACATGACTTGAATTCATCGAGAAACGACATTGATTTATTAGTTCCACCATGCCCGTACCTAATTTTTTTTTGTGGACGGTGCCACCACCTTCTACAGCAAAGCTACACCTCACGCATGACCGTCCATGGCAGGATGTGGCCCTGTGCTGCAGCAGCTGTTTGCGACAGTTGCACGCTGGGCGCCACACCTGGGTGTACGAACTGGAGGCATGGTGCCTTCCCTTCTACCGCACTCGCTGAGCTGCATCCCGGGGAGGGTCCGGGTCAACAACCCCCCCAACACGGGGGCCGCAGCGTGGGACACTGCGGCAGCATCCTTTCCAAGCCTGTCCAGGCCTGGATTGGGGGCTGATCGTCCTGGCAACAAGCCAAAGATCGGGAGAGCCGTGTGGGATTGCTTGACACTTTTGGTTTCTTTGTACCCACAACAGCAAAGAGGGAGACACCGAGAAGGCGTTCCTTGCTGCCTGGCGTGCCGTCGTGGGCCAAGAGGGTTACATGTCTAGGCACCGCGCCTACGTTGGGCTACATGGAATCTGACTTTTTATGAACTTTTCCCTCCCTTGCCTTCCACAATGCCATGATCTAAAATCTAACTCTTTGTTTATAGTTCCACTCTTGCCTTCCACAATGGCATGATCTAAAATCGAACTCTTCAGTTCCCCCCTTGCCTTCCACAATGCCTGATCTAAATTCCAACTCTTTATTTAAATTTCCCCCTTGCCTTCCACCATGCCATGGTCTAAAATCTAACTTAAAACTTCCCCCCGCTTGCCTTCCACAATGCCATGATCTAAATTCCAACTTTTTGTTTCAATTTCATCCCCCTGTCTTCCACAATGCCATGATCTAAAATCTAACTCTTTATTTAAACTTCCCCCTCCTTGCCTTCGACAATGCCATGATCTAAATTCTACCTTTTATTTAAACTTCCCCCCTTGCCTTCCACAATACCATGATCTGAAATCTAATTCTCTTGCCCTCCACACGACTGCCCCCAGGCAGTCGGTGAGAGGCCCTTCAGGAAGTACCTTCGAAGGGGGCTTAAGGTACCTTCGCCGAAGGGTGCTCCACGACTGCCCCGAGAGAGGCTTGGGTTTCGGATGCATGTGTTCCTGCAGCAGTTTTGTCGAAATATGTGCGACAAGTAGGCCAAGAAAAGCTCAAGCCTCGCAAGCGGTCACATGAGGATCAGTCGCAAAGCCTTGGTGAAGCATCTTCTCCATTGCCATCAGCTTCTCGGCCTGCGGGGACAAACAGTCCTGCAGACCTGCAGCAGCTCTCAGACTCCACAGATCTCATGTCGGTCACCTGTTCTACGCACAAAGAAAGCACAGCTGCCCAAAAGCAGCTTAAAAAGTCTGCCGGAATGCTGTGCGCATGTTTGTCGGACGGTGTAATCTTGCACATGCAAGAGATCGATCTATGGCTGCGAATCTCTAAGCCAGCGATACATCTGCGTTGCCGCCGTCAAGGCATTGATGCCGTCCCCCTGTGTAGTCGTGCATGATGACGCTTGTCACTTGCACAAATATGCGGCCCGCAGGGCAAAGGACAGAAGGGTTGCATGTCTGTTGCTGCGGGATATATATATATATAAAATATATATATATATATATTGTAACTATTGGACCTGGGCAATCAATAGTATGCTCTGGAAGCAAACCTTGAAACCAAACCTTCAGCCCGAACCAGATATGTGTCGGAGTTAAATGAACTAGATTGGCCCTGCAGGATTCAGCAGCTGCCGCTGGCATAGCCCCGCCAAAGCTGACCTACGTATGTGATAAGTTTCACATGGCCGGACACACAGACGCCTGGTGCAGGAAGACTTGTGATCTGGACCTGCCGGAACATGCTTCTGTTCTGAAAGGGATTATTTAGAACATCAGTGTGCGAGTTTACCTTCACTTGGCTCAGCAAGTATAAGCACCAAACAAAGCACATGAATGAATATGGCTTCAAATTCTTCCTCTTGGACATGGCGTGGAGCCACAACGAAATCATTTTGCATGGAGGTTATCGGCCAGAGGAAGTGGCAGGATCACTTAGTGCTAAACGCGCTAGAAAAAACATTGTGGTCTGATCTTGCAAGTACCGGGCTACATGCTGTCAAGTCTGCATCCCAGTCGTTCGATCATGTCCCTGTGCATGTGCAAATGTGCTTGTCCATCCTACTTGCTAAAAATGCTGCAGTGTTTTTCGCTCATCCCGGGTGCAGAATCTTGTAGTGGTAAGTTCCACCGCCATGTCTGGAACCCATGAAGATAGACAGAACATACCGGCCATGAAGCTCATGTGGGATGAAGTAGACGCACGCTTTGATCCAAAGTATGTGCTTGGGGAAGCTGGCCATCGCTTCTGCCAAACATATTCCGTGAGAGCTGCCCATCCAGAATTTCCTTACGCCCTGCATTGTTTGTCAATGATGTGTGCTCTGGTCAATGAGGCTCTAACATTACCTTTTGGAACCGGTTACGATCCATCTGCCCCAAGGGCGTCGTCTATAATGGGCCGATCCTCAATCAGCAGGGTGAACAGTGCACCACCTCCCAGATGCTGGACGAAGCCATGTTGGACACGCGGAACTTTTGGTTTGCTAAGCCTCAAGACTCTCTTCAAGAATGGGAACCCATTTTGCGGGAGTACCAGACTGCATCGCCCTGGCCCAGCATTGAACTCCCCCAGAAACAGGATTTTCTCCACACACTCCTTGGCACCAAAGATTCAGCCCCTGGCCCTGATGGAATCCCCTACTCTGCATGGAGACTCTCCCCTGAAGACAGCTACCCAGTTTTAGATCAGCTAATGATGAAAATGCTAGCAGGCCTACGAGCTGCACCTGTACAAGTTGGTGTTTGGATACCCAAAGCCAAAGTAGGTCCGACTGCTGACTACTTTAGGCCTTTAGGAATGCCCAATACCTGTGATAGGCTTGTGGATGGCACCATAGCTGCGGTAGTCATGAAAGCAACTTGCTCATATATGCATCCCTCGCAAGTAGTCATGAATTGCTTTAAAGAACCACAGCACGCTGTTCATGCCATACAAGCTTTACTGGATAGCAATACTCCCGTAGCCGCGCTACTAGTTGATCTATCAAAAGCCTTTGAGCGGGTTAATCCCTATTGGATCTACATATCCTGCGAATGCGGAAAGCACCGACATGGGTATGTAATTATGCCAAATACATTCTATTTGGAAGGCTCATTCGCCATAAAGTTCAAGGCAGACTTCTGCCGCCTAGGGCGGTGCATGTGGGAGTTGACATGGGAAGGTCTTTCTCAGTTTTCCTATTCTGCTTGGCAATGGACCCGATATATCACTATATGAATCGTATCCCCCGGGTCATGAGTGTCCAGGGATATATTGACGACAATACGATTGCAGGACCAGGACATGACATTACTTGGGTAAGTAGAGTCCATAAATGCTATCAATGTTGCTGGTCGGCAGGTTTTCAAATTGACCAGCATGCCTGTTGGCAAGCTGTCAGCTCTGACTGTCTCCCCTTCTCAGTCCAATCCCTGCCTGGGCGAAGTGAAAGTGAAGTTATTCTTCGACAGAAACAATACCCCACTGCACGAGCAGCGATCTTATCAGCTATCCTTTCCCAAAAGACACTCATTCTTGCACGAGCCGACAAGTGTATTGGGTTGACCCCCAGAGAAGCCTGTGGTATCCTCAACGGAACTGATTATACACCTATATGCTCATTGTTGGCGTTGGAATGTAGCTGCAGGTGCAAAACAGCTTTGGTAATCAACAGCCCGCTTCCAAGCTGGGTGCTCCGGCAATTAGATCAGTCGGGTTTCGGGGCACACTGCATCCAAGGTGTTGCGACCTCACTCGGGCTATTGCTACTGGGGCGTGCCCAATTGTCTAATCGTAACTTATGGACAGTTACTACACATCCTACTACCCTTAAACAAATCAATCCTAAAGCTGCCGAGAAGTTTATACATCGGCTCAGGCTGTTTCGGCAACCAGTCCTGTCGGTTGTCTCTAAGAGCATTGCTTTCAATACGTTTGCACAAAGTGTGGTACTCTATACCACATCCTATTTTGGTGCTGCCACGGAAGATCTTCAAATGCTGCGCGCGGCAGCAACGGAACTCTTACTAGGACGTAGTTGGATTAGGCATGACCTCCTTGCATTTGTGTTCCGACTGTGTAAAATTGCACCACTACTTGACCCAGGTGTAAGCATCCTTGTTTCTGCACTAGGGCTATTTCTGCGAAAAGGAGGAGAGGTTCATGAACTATATGTTGAAACTCCACCAGCAGTGAACAGACAAACACATGAAGTCAGGATACTTTGGCAAGCGTGGGCACGAGTTGTTGGAGAAGGTGTCCTAACAAGAGCAGTGTCAGGAAGTGGTACAATCAAACAACGAATCAACGCAGTCAAAAAATGTGTGCTCCATCACATGATGCAACTTGCATCTCACTATCTTCGTAATAAGGTGCTAACAGCAGGATGGACGGGAGGAATCAGCTGGGCATGGCTCAGTCATGCTTGCGAGGCCAACAAGCGATGGATTCCTAGTATTACTAGGTTCACTCTGCTACGCTGGGCAGTCAATGAGGATGATGACGAGTGGTTAGCACGACGTGGCCGAAGCCGGCAAAAAAAATGTGCCCTATGTGCTAACTTTGGACGCGCGTATCCACTCGGCGGCTATCAAATCGCAATTTGTGAAACATGCATAGTCACTAAACAGCTGACGGCCTTTACGACAGACTCCCTTGTCAGACTGCTGGAGACTTCATGCAGAGAACTCCCTATGCAAGAAGAATTGGCAGCAAGTGAAGACTGGGAAAAGTGCATTGCTTGTGCAAAGGGAGACAATACGGTAGGACATTGGGTGAGGTGGTGTGTCGTACCTATCAGTGCACTACGAAGCCTGACAGGAGATGACTCAATACTGTCGCTGGCCGAAGGGTCAAGGAAGGGCGTTAAGCACTTAGCAATAGCCTCGCGAGTAGTTCATCAATTCAGGTTGCTACTACGGGAATCAGGCGCAATGAAACATCAAGTCTCTGCTCCCCCTATCCCCATGGACACCTGGATCCATAACCTCGTACAAAGAGTACAAACAGAACTACCCCTGGACCTCCGTATGCAGCATGTAAGGACACAGTTAGTTTCCGCCCACTGTTCTGTCGATGATTCGCTACTCTCGTGCTGTGACAAACCCCCACTCCACATATCGTGTGCCCTTGCTCCAGCTCGGGTATGCATCACGCGTGAAACAATAGACACCAATCAAATAGTTGCTGTTGTCCCGTTAGGCTCTGAGCCGCTACAATTAATTCAGCAAACTATCCAGTTTGGAACAGGAATCTCCCCTAATGTCTCGCTCTCCACCTTTCAGTGTGAGTGCGGTGACTATCATTGCCGTCTCACAGCATTGCAGCCTATAGGCACCAATGAAATGCTCAGCAGCTATCTTCATTCTGACAAAACTACGTTGCTAGTACAATTTGACGGGTCCTGTCATGCTGACAAGGGAACAGGTGGAGCGGGCGCTGCTCTCCTAGAACTACAGCGAGAAGGACTAACGTTGCTCAAGTGGAGGGCTGTTGCACTACCTAGCTGCCCAGACAACATTTTTGCCGAGGCAGTGTCAGCTAACCTCGCAACAGACCTGTTGTGTGAAGAAATGGTACACAGAAGCTACGCAGTTGACCAGGCCTATCTACAAGGCGATATCCTCCCCATCATTAAGCACCTAGCCTTCGCAGGACGTTTTCGTAGGATAGACCTACAGCCTATTATACAGCAAATCCGCCGGAAACAATCTAGGTTTTTTGACAATGGAAAATGGGTATACCGCCCAAGAGAAGCCAATATACTCGCAGATTATCTTGCTGGAGTAGCTAGCCGAGCGGCACAGGCCTTACCAGCTCATGTAAGCGAGCCTACTGAAATCGTTGTTGATGCGCCCTTTCAGCTGGCTATGCAATCTGGAGCCATTGTACTGGAAGAGAGGCCGTTAGGTGTTACGATCCTATTACTTACCGAAGTCCCGAATATAAGCATGGAATTGGTAAATAAATTTATGGTGCAAACTGCAAACCAGCAATATCTCAAAGAGGTAGAGGCCTATTTAGCGGGCACTGTCAATCTCACGAAGCCCCGAGTAGTAGAGTATACGGCTTCTGCAACAGACTGTCTGGGCCGACTGTATGGTAGGGGACCCTGTGCTCAAAGACTGCCACGAAAGGTGAGATTACTCCTATTTGGAAATACGCACCAGGAAGTTGACATGGTCGGCGCTTTCTATGAAATCATGCGACGCCTCCTTCGCAGCAGCCACCTCCCGCACATAGCAGAACTGAGAGCGATACTTACTGATCTGCTAGGTTTGGTACCGCTGAATCAGCGGTTTGCTGT